CTAAAGCCTCCTTGTTCATCTGCTATCCTATTCTCCGTCTTACTTTTAATTCTTTCAATAATAACTCTACCATACACTTTATAACCAGGTATACTCAACAGACTTACCCCCCTATAATTTTTGCACTCTCTTTTGTCCCCTTTGCCTTTATACAAAGGAACTATGCATGCTCTCTGCCAATCCCTAGGTACCTTACCCTCTTCCATACATTTATTAAATAATTGCACCAACCACTCCAAAACTATATCCCCACCTGCTTTTAACATTTCTATCTTTATCCCATCAATCCCGGCTGCCTTACTCCCTTTCATTTTACCTACTGCCTCACGAACTTCCCCCACACTCACAACTGGCTCTTCCTCACTCCTACAAGATGTTATTCCTCCTTGCCCTATACACGAAATCACAGCTTCCCTATCTTCATCAACATTTAACAATTCCTCAAAATATTCCCTCCATCTTCCCAATACCTCTAACTCTCCATTTAATAACTCTCCTCTCCTATTTTTAACTGACAAATCCATTTGTTCTCTAGGCTTCCTTAACTTGTTAATCTCACTCCAAAACTTTTTCTTATTTTCAACAAAATTTGTTGATAACATCTCACCCACTCTCTCATTTGCTCTCTTTTTACATTGCTTCACCACTCTCTTAACCTCTCTCTTTTTCTCCATATACTCTTCCCTCCTTGCATCACTTCTACTTTGTAAAAACTTCTCATATGCTAACTTTTTCTCCCTTACTACTCTCTTTACATCATTCCACCAATCGCTCCTCTTCCCTCCCGCACCCACTTTCCTGTAACCACAACTTCTGCTGAACACTCTAACACTACATTTTAAACCTACCCCATACCTCTTCGACCCCATTGCCTATGCTCTCATTAGCCCATCTATCCTCCAATAGCTGTTTATATCTTTCCCTAACTGCCTCCTCTTTTAGTTTATAAACCTTCACTTCTCTCTTCCCTGATGCTTCTATTCTCCTTGTATCCCATCTACCTTTTACTCTCAGTGTAGCTACAACTAGAAAGTGATCTGATATATCTGTGGCCCCTCTATAAACTGTACATCCTGAAGTCTACTCAACAGTCTTTTATCTACCAATACATAATCCAACAAACTACTGTCATTTCGCCCTACATCATATCTTGTATACTTATTTATCCTCTTTTTCTTAAAATATGTATTACCTATAACTAAACCCTTTCTATACAAAGTTCAATCAAAGGGCTCCCATTATCATTTACACCTGGCCCCCAAACTTACCTACCACACCCTCTCTAAAAGTTTCTCCTACTTTAGCATTCAGGTCCCCTACCACAATTACTCTCTCACTTGGTTCAAAGGCTCCTATACATTCACTTAACATCTCCCAAAATCTCTCTCTCTCCTCTGCATTCCTCTCTTCTCCAGGTGCATACACGCTTATTATGACCACTTCTCGCATCCAACCTTTACTTTAATCCACATAATTCTTGCATTTACACATTCATATTCTCTTTTCTCCTTCCATAACTGATCATTCAACATTACTGCTACCCCTTCCTTTGCTCTAACTCTCTCAGATACTCCAGATTTAATCCCATTTTTTTCCCCCCCACCGAAACTCCCCTACCCCCTTCAGCTTTGTTTTCGCTTAGGGCCAGGACATCCAACTTCTTTTCATTCATAACATCAGCAATCATCTGTTTCTTGTTATCTGCACTACATCCACGCACATTCAAGCATCCCAGTTTTATAAAGTTTTTCTTCTTCTCTTTTTTAGTAAATGTCTACAGGAGAAGGGGTTACTAGCCCATTGCTCCCGGCATTTTAGTCGCCTCATACAACACGCATGGCTTACGGAGGAAAGATTCTTTTCCACTTCCCCAGGGACAATAGAAGAAATAAAGAAGAATAAGAGCTATGTAGAAAAAGGAAAAAAACCCTAGATGTATGTATATATATAATTATATAATATATATATATATAATATGTATATATATATATATATATATATTTTATATTATAATTATTATATATATATATATATATATATATATATATATATATATTATATTATATATATATATATATATATATATATATATATGCATGTGCATGTCTGTGAAGTGTGACCAAAGTGTAAGTTGGAGTAGCAAGATATCCCTGTTATCTAGCGTGTTTATGAGACAGAAAAAGACACCAGCAATCCTACCATCATGCAAAACAGTTACAGGTTTCTGTTTCACAGTCATCTGGCAGGACGGTAGTACTTCCCTGGGTGGTTGCTGTCTACCAACCTACTACAACCTAATACAATATTACAAAAGTAATACAGTATTACTTTTGTCACTACTACTACTACTACCACCACTAGTGAACATCGAAATGGTACCTCACTAGTATTGCACCTCACTCTGAGCCTATATATACCCTCTGTGTCCATGTATTGTTTGTAATGGCTCGATAAAGCTCCTGGAGAGCGAAACGTTGCCACAGTAAAATGTCACATTAGTTGCACTTGTGTCCTTTTACTTTACAATCCCCCTTATGTATGCTGGGAGGCAGATGAACAGTCTCGGGCCCCTGACACTTATTGTATGGTCTCTTAACGTGCTAGTGACACCCCTGCTTTTCATTGGGGGGATGTTGCATCGTCTGCCAAGTCTTTTGCTTTCGTAGTGAGTGATTTTCGTGTGCAAGTTCGGTACTAGTCCCTCTAGGATTTCCCAGGTGTATATAATCATGTATCTCTCCCGCCTGCGTTCCAGGGAATACAGGTTCAGGAACCTCAAGCGCTCCCAGTAATTGAGGTGTTTTATCTCCGTTATGCGCGCCGTGAAGGTTCTCTGTACATTTTCTAGGTCAGCAATTTCACCTGCCTTGAAAGGTGCTGTTAGTGTGCAGCAATATTCCAGCCTAGATAGAACAAGTGACCTGAAGAGTGTCATCATGGGCTTGGCCTCCCTAGTTTTGAAGGTTCTCATTATCCATCCTGTCATTTTTCTAGCAGATGCGATTGATACAATGTTATGGTCCTTGAAGGTGAGATCCTCCGGCATGATCACTCCTAGGTCTTTGACGTTGGTGTTTCGCTCTATTTTGTGGCCAGAATTTGTTTTGTACTCTGTGTGGTGGGAGACAGTGTGTGGTGGGAGACAGTGTGTGGTGGGAGACAGTGTGTGGTGAGTCAGTGTGGTGGGAGACAGTGTGTAGTGAGAGACAGTGTGTAATGGGAGACAGTGTGGTGAGACTGTGTGATGGGAGACAGTGTGGTGAGACTGTGTGATGGGAGACAGTGTGGTGAGACAGTGTGTGGTGTGAGACAGTGTTTGATGTGAGACAGTGTGTGATGGGAGACAGTGTGGTGAGACAGTGTGTGGTGGGAGACTGTGGTGAGACAGTGTTTGATGGGAGATAGTGTGGTGAGACAGTGTGTGATGGGAGACAGTGTGGGGAGACAGTGTGTGATGGGAGACAGTGTGGTGAGACTGTGTGATGGGAGACAGTGTGGTGAGACAGTGTGTGATGGGAGACAGTGTGGTGAGACTGTGTGATGGGAGACAGTGTGGTGAGACAGTGTGTGATGGGAGACAGTGTGGTGAGACAGTGTGTGGGTGTGAGACAGTGTTTGATGTGAGCAGTGGTTTAGGGAGAAGTTTTGGTGAGACAGTGGGGTGGGGAGACTGTGGTGGAGACAGTGTTTTATGGGAGATAGTGTGGTGAGACAGTGTGTGATGGGAGACAGTGTGGTGAGACAGTGTGTGGTGGGAGACAGTGTGGTGAGACTGTGTGATGGGAGACAGTGTGGTGAGACAGTGTGTGATGGGAGACAGTGTGGGGAGGTGTGTGATGGGAGACAGTGTGGTGAGACAGTGTTGGTGGGAGACAGGTGGTGACAGTGGTTGGTGGGAGACAGTTGGTGAGACTGTGCAAGGGAGACAGTGTGGTGAACAGTGTGTGAGGGAGAAGTGTGGTGAGACAGTGTGTGATGGGGGACGTGTGGTGAGACTGTGTGATGGGGGACAGTTTTGGTAAACAGTGTTTTTGATGGGAGAAAAGTGTGGTGAACAGTGTGTGGTGGGAGGACGTGTGGGAGACTGTGGATGGGAACAGTGTGGTGAGACAGTGTGTGATGGGAGACAGTTGTGGTGAGACAGTGTGTGATGGGAGACCCGTTTTGTGAGACTGTGTATGGGGAAAATGTGTGAGACAGTGTGTGATGGGACAGTGTGGTTTAAGCAGTTTGGGGGAGACAGTGTGGTTTAGACTGTTTTGAGGAGACAGTTGGTAGACAGTGTGTGATGGGGACAGTGTGGGAGACAGTGTGTGATGGGAGACAGTGTGGTGAGACTGTGTGAGGGGACAGTGTGGTGAGACAGTGTGTTTATGGGGGACAGTGTGGGAGACAGTGTGTGGTGGGAGATGTGGTGAGATGTGTGATGGGAGACAGTGTGGTGAGAAGTGTGTGATGGGGACAGTGTGGGAGACCCGTGTGTGAGGGAGACAGTGTGGGGAGACTGTGTGATGGGAACAGTGTGGTGAACAGTTGTTGGGAGCAGTGTGGTGAAACAGTGTGTGGTGGGGACAGTGTGGTGAGACTGTTTTGATGGGGGACAGTGTGGTGGGAAATGTGTGTGGGAGACGTGGGGGGACTGTGTGATGGGAGACGTGAGGGGAGACAGTGTGTGATGGGAACAGGTGGTGAAAAAGTGTGTGGTGGGGACAGTTGGTGAGACGTGTGATGGGGAACAGTGTGGGGAGACAGGGTTGATGGGGGGACGTGTGGGGAGGGCTGTGTGATGGGGAGACAGTGGTGAGAGGTGTGGTGGGGACAGTGTAGTGGACAGTGTGGGTGGGGGGGGGTGGAGAGTGGGCGTGTCTGTTTTCGCTGTGTAACCTGCTCCCCACTCGCACCTAAAAAAACACGGTACCATTGACTTGTCAATTGTGCGCCCAAAAAATCTTACGGGAATTTACATTAAAACAACAAATTTTCAAAATGTGAAAACACACGGGGTAAAGAATAACTGACTAAATACTAGCAAGGGGAAGATGTTTGTTGTGATGCTCAGAGTTCAACATGTGACTCAAAACGTTTTTCTCACTGACAAAATATACTGAAACAGCAAAACTTACAATGATTCTATCAAGAAAATAAATCATTGAGTGATCCACTTGAAGACTGTACTGGTCTCAAACCTCTGCAACATTGCTGATCATTGCAATATATCTCCCGAGAAGCACAAGTTTCAACCTGGGAACTGATTCATCAGGTTAGTTACAATTAATTACCTTAACATCATTTATCTAAAATAAATTACTAGGCGTACAATTCCTTAACAGGTAATTATTTTTTTTTGTGTGTGAGAAAGATGAATGAATTTCCATACATAACCAAACGTTCTCACCAGTTCAGTTGTTATTTCCTCATTATTATTAAAACCGCTTTTATCTTATCTCTCCAATTTAGCGCTCTCTACTGACTGTATTAAACAGCCTGCTAGTGATTTTTTGTAATATCTTATCTAGGCTATAATAATCTTACGCTGCTGTTCATGTGATCTTAACTATTCCTTCAGTTACATTAATCATGCGTTATCGTATTGATACTGAAATGTTATCTTGGGAGAGATAACTGTGATCCTTCCTTAGCCTTGAATAACTTAGTTTGAACACTGGTAAAGGGTTCCTGATCCAAGAAATTGGAGCTACCTTCCCCTTCTCAGGATCCCAGTGGAAATAAATCACTGGCTTGTTTTTTTTGTTATCCTGGGTAATTTACACTATGTATGATAATTGTACTGATGTGTACCTGTACCTGAACGAACGTACTTAACCTGTCATTCCACAGGCTCTTACCCGTGACTATCAAAATAATATGTGAATCGTGTGATTTTTGGCATATTCTTAAGATATATATACATTAAGTTATCATGAAAGGTCAAACATACTCTGGGTGTTATCTTGAATATGCATTTACTCTAGGTGTGTTTTTTTTTCATACATTAACGTTTTTTGTGGTGGCCTCTGCATCCTGTCTTGACACGAAAATGTGTAGTAATAATAGTTGTAGTAATAATCATAGTTGTAATAGCATGATAGTAGCAGTAGTGTAGTGTAGCATAGCTAGAAGTATTAGTAGAGTAGTTGCAGTAGTAGAGTAGTAGTAATAATAGTAGTTCAGTAGCTAGAAGTATAGTAGCAGTAGTGCAGTAGTAGTAGTGTAATGTATGTAGCTAGAAGTATTAGTAGCAGTAGTTGCAGTAGTAGTAGTAGTAGTAGTAATAGTATCAGTAGCTAGAAGTATTAGTAGCAGTAGTTGCAGTAGTAGTAGTAGTAGTAGTAATGGTATCAGTAGCTAGAAGTATTAGTAGCAGTAGTTGTAGTAGTAGTAGTAGTATCAGTAGCTAGAAGTATTAGTAGCAGTAGTTGCAGTATGTAGTTAGTAGTATAGGTATCAGTAGCTAGAAGTATTAGTGCAGTAGTTGCAGTAGTAGTAGTAGTAATAGTATCAGTAGCTAGAAGTATTAGTAGCAGTAGTTGCAGTAGTAGTAGTAGTAGTAGTAATGGTATCAGTAGCTAGAAGTATTAGTAGCAGTAGTTGCAGTAGTAGTAGTAGTAGTAGTATCAGTAGCTAGAAGTATTAGTAGCAGTAGTTGCAGTAGTAGTAGTAATAGTATCAGTAGCTAGAAGTATTAGTAGCAGTAGTTGCAGTAGTAGTAGTAGTAATAGTATCAGTAGCTAGAAGTATTAGTAGCAGTAGTTGCAGTAGTAGTAGTAGTAGTAGTAATGGTATCAGTAGCTAGAAGTATTAGTAGCAGTAGTTGCAGTAGTAGTTTAGTAGTAGTAGTAATAGTATCAGTAGCTAGAAGTATTAGTAGCAGTAGTTGCAGTAGTAGTAGTAATAGTATCAGTAGCTAGAAGTATTAGTGGCAGTAGTTGCAGTAGTAGTAGTAGTAATAGTATCAGTAGCTAGAAGTATTAGTAGCAGTAGTTGCAGTAGTAGTAGTAGTAGTAGTAGTAATAGTATCAGTAGCTAGAAGTATTAGTAGCGGTAGTAGTAGTAGTAATAGTATCAGCAGCTAGAAGTATTAGTAGCAGTAGTTGCAGTAGTAGTAGTAGTAGTAGTAGTAGTAGTAGTAATAGTATCAGTAGCTAGAAGTATTAGTAGCGGTAGTAGTAGTAGTAGTAACAATAATAATAACAGTAGTATAGGAGCAGTAGCAATATTAGTAATATTGGTAACATTAGTAATATTAGCAGTAGTAATAATACTTGAAGTAGTAATAGTTGCAGTAGTAATAGTACTTGAAGTAGTAATAGTTGCAGTAGTAATAGTACTTGAAGTAGTAATAGTTGCAGTAGTAATAGTACTTGAAGTAGTAATAGTTGCAGTATTAATAGTAGTAGTAATAAGAGTAGTTATAATAGAGCATAAAAATCCTTCCAAACATCTGTTCACGCGTCACTGGTCTATGAAATTGTCACTGAGATTATTATCCAGGGTTTATTTACACATTTTACTCTGGTAAAAGTGGCATGTGATACTGACAAATAGTCAAAAAAATAACCAAAAATGGAAACTAGTACATGGACGATCCCTTGAAGCGTTTCCTGTAAGCTCTTATTTTTCTAAAGTTAAAAAAAATAATTCAGACTATAAATTACTCTATAAGACATGTAAAAATCTAATTAATCGAAACTCGGCTATGAGGACTGGTCACAGACCGGGCCGCGGGGGCGTTGACCCCCGAAACCCACCCCAGGTATACTCCAAGTAAAACAGACAGATATACCACAGCAGGAGGTATTCCTGATATATCTGCTGCTGTGGACACTGTTGCTAATATTGACCTCTGATATTGACCGCTAGTAGTTGAGGTTAATGTTAAAGTCACTTATGTTAATGTCGCTGAGGTTAATGTTGATGTTATTGAAGTTAATGTTGGGGTCACTAATGTTGATGTTCATATGGTTGAGGTTAATGTTAATGTTAGTGAGGTAAATATTAACGGTCTAAGGTTAAAATTTGGAGTCACTAATGTTAATATTGAGATAATTTTCGTTAATGTTAAGGTCACTGCGGTTAATATTATGTCACTAAGATTACTATTGAGGTCATTAATGTTGATGTTGGGGTTGCTAAGGTTAATGTTGAGGTCACCGAGGTTAATGTTGAAGACACTAAGATTAATTTTGAGTCATGGGGGTTAATATTGGATCACTAATGTTAATATTGGGTCACGAATAATAGTATTGGGTCACTTAAGTTAATATTACGTTACTGAGGTTAATATTGAAATCACTAAATTTAATGTTAAGGTCGTATGATTAATGTATTAATAAGGCTAATATTTGTTAACAAAGTTAATATTGAGACGACCGGAAGGTTAATGTTGGATTACTGAAGTTAATTTTGAAGTCAAAAACTGAGGTGTACTCACCTAATTGTGGTTGCAGGGGTCGAGTAGTAGCTCCTGGCCCCGGAGTCTTCTCTCCTGACGGATACTATCAAGTATCCTTTCCCCGCTGGCTTGACCTCGGTAGAGAGTAACATAACAATGACCCCAGTACACCTACCTGACCTACGCCAGCCTCCACGAGTCTGTTAATTCCAGTAGCAATTATAACGTGTACAAAAAATTGAATTGCCTTTCAGTGCAGACAGATTGAAGTTTGGAAATGATGCCATCAAGTTGGATTCCGCAATTCGTCATTGCAGAAGCCTGTAATGATTGGATTTTAAGAGCCTAGCTTACCGTGATCGAAATGTGTTGCGGAGATGGTCACACGTGAAGCCTAGCGGCTGCTATAGGCTTTTTTTTATGCTCCTCTATGCTGTATCATCCATACGGGTTTAGTGCTTCATTTTCAGTATGATAAAAATAACAACGAAATAAGAATAATAATAAAAACAATAATGGTAATAATAATAAAACAATAATAATAATAATATAATAATAATAATAATAATAATAATAATAATAATAATAATAATAATAATAATAATAATACATAGAATATATACACCTAGAGATGTATGTCTGTATATACACAGAGTTTATGTTAGACACTATTTCAGGGCTTCAAGTTTGTTGACTCCTGGTACAGCTCACAACCCACAATGTTGTGGCTACAACATTCACAATCATCTCTCACTCAGAGCAAACTGTAGACAACGTTTTGGGCTACATTGACTCAGAACATAGAAAACAAAAAGAAAGTGGCCTGGTGGCTAAAGCTCCCGCTTCACACACGGAGGGCCCGGGTTCGATTCCCGGCGGGTGGAAACATTCCGACACGTTTCCTTACACCTGTTGTCCTGTTCACCTAGCAGCAAATAGGTACCTGGGTGTTAGTCGACTGGTGTGGGTCGCATCCTGGGGGACAAGATTAAGGACCCCAATGGAAATAAGTTAGACAGTCCTCGATGACGCACTGACTTTCTTGGGTTATCCTGGGTGGCTAACCCTCCGGGGTTAAAAATCCGAACGAAATCTTATCTTATCTTATCTTAGGAAGAAATAAGGATAAAGTAAGAATAGGGAGAAAATAGCGAGGTAATGGGGAGAAATGGGAAGCAAACCAGAAAATCCGTTTCCCCCGTTTTATTGCTCAAAAACGTGATAAAGATCTAGAAAGGAGCGAAACGTCTTCTAAATGTTTCCTCTCCAAGCAATGTGGGTTATTTTCATTAGGATCCTAAAGTTACCCTCCCCAACATGCATCCCACAGCAGTCGATTGTCTCCTAGCTACTCACTCACTGTTAGGTAAACAAGGGCAGATATAAAGAGACTTCTCTATACGTTTCATTTATTCCGGGGATCGAACCCAGATCCTTGTGGTTGTGAGTCTGTTTGTATGTACCGTTTTATGTGCACCATTTATTATTAGTATCATGGGAGCGCTAAACCCGTAGGGATTATACAGCCCCTGTTGGGGGGTGGAGGGCATTTATTCAAGCTTTATTCAAGGAATTGGAGCATAGATCCAATTCCCTAGATCAAGAACCCCTCACCAGCATCAAGGAACCTCCCTTGAGGGGTATATATACACCAGTAAGTGTATTCCGAAGAGGACCTCATTTGGAGGTCGAAATCTCTTTTACGTTGTCAACTGTGTATATACGACGAGTACACTGTGCGATTTTTTAGCAATTGAAGTGTTGTTATTCGTGTTGAACATTGCAATTCAATATATATACACTATAAAGGGTGTTTCAAAAAGATGGACCCAAACACTATGGCTTCATGCTTAAAAGTAGCCTTAACA